GAAGGGACCTTCAAAGGTCATCTAGTCCAAACCCCCTGTAAGGAACAGGGATATCTCCAACTAGATCAGGTTGCTCAGGGCCTCATCCAACCTGGCCTTGAACGTCTCCAGGGATGGAGCATCCACCACCTCTCTGGGCAACCTGTTCCAGTGTTCTACAACTTTCATGGTAAAAAATTTCTTCCTAATATCCAACCTGAATCTACCTCCCTCTATTTTAAAACCATTACCCCTTGTCCTATCACAACAGGCCCTCCTGAGCAGCCTCTCCCCATCTTTCCTGTAGGCCCCCTTGAGCACTGGGGCTACTCAAAATCAAGTCTTACTAGATTCAGACTCACAGGACACACAGTTATCACAGATCAGCTGACACTAATACTTTGCTTTGAGACAGTTTGCTTCAGCTGAGCGATTCAAAGCATTCTACTTCGTGCAAAAGACACTCTGATACTTCTTTCATGTCCAAGGTGCAGCTTCAGAAGGAATATGGAAAGCTTCATGTCCCAGCTTACATGGCAGAGCTGAAACCACCTATGCTAGGAAACACGGTATGCATCTGAAAAAGGTATCTGGTCCAAAGTGCAAAACTGTGAAGAATGGCAAGGGCAGGGCAAGTCTTCTCCAACCAGATTTGATGAGATTATATCTTTTTTTTTAAAAAAGCACCAAAAAACCCCAACTAATCAAAAAACTCTCAAGCAAATATTTTCAAAGATGCAGTGAGCAGTCCATAGTGCTAGTGTGGGCTAGTATTTGTACACTTGAACAGTGTAAATAAACTTCCCAGGAGTAATGCCAGTCTTGCCACAAAAAACACATTTGCAATGGCTAGATCTAGCCTTCAAACAAAACTGGCAAGTATTCATTCCATAGTAATTTCATACTATCTTTTCAACAAACATTAGTGTTTTCCTTTTGAATTTGCAATCTTCTGGACATGCAGCCCCTTGTAACTTGGCTGCACATCTGCATTGAGCGTGCAAAGAAAATTCTCCCTTAGGGCCTTAGGTACCAGCCATTAAGACCACTGGAAAAAAGTGTTCCTGGTATCTTTCTCTCCTGTAGAGACAGGGGGAGATATATAAAAAAGAACCTGGGATATCAGTTTCTCACAGTTCTTTTTGTGTTTTCTTCCTCCCCTGCCCCTCCATGCTTCCCTCCATTCCCCAGAATATCAGTGTAGATTGCTGACAACAGCACGAGGCGGGGATGGGAGGCTTGCAGGCACCTGGGATTTCCTAAACGAAATCTTTGGCAACTGTGTCTTTTTATTATTTATTTCCTTATTTTTAATTCCACCCCCTTCAAGCTGTCATTCCTTAGCAGTGAAAATGAAAAGCTGCCATTTATGTGCGGACAACAATGGAGGCCTCTGCAGGCCACATGGCTCCTGCAGTTTAATTTACTTTAATTCATTTTATATTGAACCAAATGATCTTATTTGCCTTTTTTAATGGGGAGCCTTCAACATGCAGGGTGGGAGCCAAGCCCCCCTTCCAAAGAAATTATGAGCCCAGCTGCTATTAAAACTTGTACTCAGCTTGATGTGCCCATCACAGCTCATGGGGGAGGAGGGGACATCTTTAGCCACAGGTATGCTCCTTCTCCCACTGACAGCAGAGGTGTAAGGTCGGAGTCTGATGTTGGGGTTACCTTCTGCTTTCTGCTTTTTCCCCCTATCCATAAGCTCTTCTTTCCCTGCCTTTTAGCCTGATTATAGTCTCACAGACTCTCTTGGCATCTCTGTTTTCATAGAATCACAGAATGGTTTGGGTGGGAAGGGACCTTCAAGACCATCCAGTTCCAACCCCCCTGCCATAGGCAGGGACACCTTCCACTACACCAGGTTGCTCAAAGCCTCATCCAGCCTGGCCTTGAACACTTCCAAGGATGGGGCAGCCACAGCTTCTCTGGGCAACCTGTTCCAGTGCCTCACCACCCTCAGAGAAGAATTTCTTCCTTATAGCTAATGAAAATTCCTGGGCTGGGTTGGAACCTGGAAAAGTCTGGGATTATTTTGTCAAATTTTCAATCTTCCCTCATTCTTTGGGGGAGATATCTCTCTGCAGAGACATTCTATTTCTGAGGTATTCAAGCTTGGAGAACTCTGGCTAGTTGTATCTCCATAACATAGTAGTCTTCATGCTTCACACTTCACTCATGATCATGTTTACTGCTCTCTGTATTCTGATTGCAAAGACAAACTTCTTTTTCTGCCTTTCAATTTTAGTTTGCTTTTTGTCAGTTAAAGCATAAACTGATACTACAAATCCAAGATGGTTCTTGATGTCATCTTAAACCAAATATTGCCCTTCCTGTGATGGGGTTATACTAGGAATACATGACCCAGGTACTTTAGGCTAGGAGAACTAAGTGCTCTAGCTTAAAGTTTTAATGTATTCACTGTCCAAATGAAAAGATGCATCTGAGGTAAGCAGAGTTTAGTACTACTCCCTGTTTTCATTAATGATCTTGATGGAACAGAGTAGACTTATCAAATGTGCAGCTGACAAACTGGGAAAAGCTGTAAATGCACTGGAAAGAAGGATTATAATCCAAACTCATCTTGACAGACAGACTGGAGAAATAGTCTGGAAAACAGGAGGGACTGAAGACAGTCCAGAAAAGAACAATAAGATCTGGAATGAATGATCTCTTGATAAAAGACTCAAAAAACTGGCAATATTCAGTCTACAGAGAAGATTGAGGGGAGTACCTGAAGACTTTGATGTGCAAAAGAAAAAGAATCTGATTTGCTCCAATCACAATGGATATGGAGAGGTAGGAGACTGAAAAAAAGGACTTTCAGAGGAGATGCCTCATTCCAGAAAGGCTATGCAAGTACCAGTGGAGACCACACAATATTTAGAGAAGACTAGAATCTCAAGGAGCTGCATGAAAAGCCAGACTAGCTTTGGAAGTGCCTTTGAATGTCCAAAATGAGGAAAATCTGAAGAGTGTGCTCAGAGGCTGAACGCAGAATGATCAAAGTCCCTGATATCCCATCCATGGGCAAGTTTTATCTATTACTGACTGTCAGCAAGAAGGTACTGCAAGGAAGCTCCAGATGAAATACCTCTGTCCCATTGACAGCTGTGCTGAACTTCATCCCTGACAGTGCAGCAATCTCCACTTCAGGCCCTGTATTATGGGGAGCTAGAGGCTGCTGTTCTGACTCATTATATTGGCAGGAAAATTCTCTGTATATATCTTGAGAAAAATCTTCTAGTTCTACTCTGTGAGTTTAATTTATATTTCTCCAGCAGCTTACTACTTGCCACCATTAAGTGACAGCATCCAGAAGTTCATAAACCACAAGCAAGGCTTCAAGCAGACAGGGAGGAAAAGGCAAGTATTAAGATAGCAGATAGATAATAACTTGATAAGAATTTGGTCAAAGTTAATGTGCCTGAAGTGCAACAGAACTGTTCTAACTCAGAAAAAGCTTACATTTAAAAAAAATCATCCAAAAAATCTGTAGCTGGCCTGTAGAAGTAAGCTGGGTCATCAGGCT